TAGATTATCTCAAACAGACTGTTAGTAGAAATATGGATGTTAAAGTGATACCTGCTGGTGAAGGCTTAGAAGGAAGTGAGGCATAGTAGAGAAAATACAAATTGCCTTAGAAAACAACTAAACTGTTTGTGAACAGACTTGTTAGTAAAATACGGATGTTAAAGATGCTTCTAGTGAGGGCTTCAAAGGAAATGATCATTTTTTGGTTGGGGGTAGTGGTAGCAAGAGGATTCTTGTCATTTAGTGATAGGAAGCTCAGCAGAATTGGGTCCTGCAGTTATGTGGAAAACAGAAGAAGTGAGTGACGGACTTGGATATTTAGCTGAGGGGATTTCCAAGCAAAGTGTTGGGGGTACAACCTGGTTTCTTCTTGCTGTTTATAGTAAAATGCAAGAAGAGATAAACTGAGGAAAGAACTATTAAACAACAAAGCACAGAGGCTTGATATTTGGGAAATTCCCAGCTTATCCATATGGCAAAGATACTAATATAAGAGAATGACTTTCAGAAAACTAGGATTAGAGAAAAAGCTGAGAGTGTGTACAGACAACCTTTTGCTAATACCTCAGACAAATCAAAACTCAAGAGTATTTAGTCATATGAAAGATGTAAAAGAAATGGAAAGCTATTCCATGCTCATGGATAGGAAGAAATAATATTCTTAAAATGGCCATACTAACCAAAGCAATCCACAGATCCAATTCAATCCCTATCAAAATACCAGTGGCATTTTTCCCAAGAGCAAATAATCCTAAAATTTGTATAAGACCACAAAAGACCCAAATAGACAAAGAAATCTTGAGGAAGAAGATGAAAGCTTGAGGTATTACAATCCCAGATTTCAAGCTATACTACAAAACTATAGTAATGGTTTTGTATGGTACAGGTTAAAGGACAGATACATAGACTAATGGAACAGAATAAAGAACCCAGATATAAACCCACACATATATGGTCAATTAATATATTATAAAGGAGCCATGAATATACAATGGGGAAGAGACAGCCTCTTCAACAACTCATGTTGGCAAAACTGGACAACTACATGTAAGAGAATGAAACTGGATTACTGTCTAACTGTACACAAAAGTAAACTTGCAGTGGATTAAAGTCATAAATATAAGACATGAAACCATAAATCTCTTAGAGGAAAACATAGGCAAAAATCTCTTGAACATAAGCATGAGTAATTTTTTGTGGACATGTCTCCCTGGACAAAGGCTACAAAACAAAAAATAAACGAGTGGGACTTTTTCAAACTAAAAAGCTTGTGTACAGCAAAGGACACCATCAAGAAAAAAAACAAAAAGGCATCCTACAGTATGGGAGAGTATATCATAAATGATTTATCCAATAAGGTGTTAATATCCAGAATATATAAAGAACTCATATGACTCAACACCAAAAAACAAGTAAACATATTAAAAAACGGTCAGAGGACTTGAGCAGACATTTTTCCAAAGAAGAAATGCAGATGGCCAACACATGAAAAGATGCTCCACAAATCAAAACCACAATGATATAGCCCCTCACACCAGTTAAAATGGCCACTATCCAGAAGACAAGAAATAACAAGTGTTGGCGAGGAGGTGGAGAAAAGGGAGCCCTCATGCACTGTTGGTGGGAAGGTAAATTGGTGTGGCCACTATGGAAAGCAGTATGGAGGTTCCTCAAAACACTAAAAATAGAAATACCATATGACCCAGTAATTCCACTGCTAGGAAATTACCTGAAGAAAACAAAATCTCTGATTTAAAATGACATATGCACCCTCATGTTGACTGCCACACTATTTACAATAGCCAAGATATGAAAGCAACCTAAGTGTCCATTAATAGATGAATGGATAAAGAAGATGTGGTACATAAGCACAATGGAATATTATTCAGCTATCAAAAAGAAAGCAGTCCTGTCATTTGCGACAACATGGATGGAGCTAGAGGGTATTATGCTTAGAGAAATAAGCCAGGCAAGAAAGACAAATGCCATGTGATTTCACTTACATATGGAATCTAAAAACAAAACAAAACAAAACAAAACAAAATGAACAAAACAGTACTAGACTCATAGACACTGACACGGTCCTAGTGGCTACCATGGGAGAGGGGGTGAGTGTTGGGTGGGGTGGATGAAGGGGATAATGAGGCACAAAAATCTCATTCATAGTAGAAGTTGGTCATGAGGATAGAAGTGCAGCATGGGGAATATGGCCAATGAATCTGTAACATCTTTCTATATTGACAGGCAGTAACTGCACTAGTTAGGGTGAGGATTTACTAATGTGTGTAACTGCTGAACCACTGTGTTATATGCTTGAAACCAATATAATATTGTATATCAGCTATACTTTAATTTAAAAAATACACGTAAAAATCAATATTTCAATATACTAAGATACAACTTGTGGTCAATGAAATTAAAAACAATATAATTTATAGTAATTTCTGTGAAAATTAAATACAAAGGTAAAAATTTTTTAAATATACAGGATCTATATCTTATATAGAGAAATTTATAAATAATACACAAAAATAGTCTTAAAGCTAATAAACAAATTCAGCAGTCTCAGAGTATAGGATCAATATACAACTTTCTACTGTATTTCTACATACTAGCAATGAACAATACAAAAATGAAATTAAAACAATTCCAATTAAAATATCAAAACAGAGTCAGGAAACATTTTAACCAAAGATGTGCAAAATTTGTAAGTAAAAATCATAAAACATTGCTAAAAGCAATTTTAAGGGCACATCTGAAAACTAGGAGAACATCCTGTGTTCATAGATTAGAAGACTGAATATTGTTAAGGTGGCAGTACTCCCCAAAGTGGTCTGCAGGCTCAGTGTAATCCTGCCCAAATCCCAGCAGCCTTTTTTCTTCCAGAAATGAAACAGCTGAACCTAAGATGCATTTGGAATTACAGGGGGCAGCAGATAACCCCCAAAGTCTTGAAAAATGACAAAGAGGATTCACACATTCCAAATTCAAAACTTAATACAAAGTTACACTAATTAAAGCAGTGTGGTACTAGTAAAAGGATAGACACACAGACCAATGGAATAAAATCAAGAGTCCAGAAATAAACCTATATGTTTTTTTATAAGACTCGAAAACCAATCAATGAATGGTGCTGAGACAAGATATCCACTTGGCGAAGACTGAAGTTGGACCTCTACCTTGCACAAAACAGAAGAATTAATTCAAAATGAAACAAAATGTAAATATTAGAGTCAAAGTTGTAAAAACTCTTAGAAGAAAGCATGGAAGTAGATCTTTATGACCTTGGATTTTCCAATGGATTCTTAAGACATGATACGAAACTCACAAGCAACGAAAGAAAAAAATAGATAAATTGGACTACATAAAACTAAATACTTTGGGTACCCATAGACAGTATCAGGAAAGTGAAAGGCAACTTACAGATGGGGAAAAATATTTCCAAGTCACTTATTTGATAAAGGACTAGTAATCTGCATAGTTAAAGAACTCATATAATTCAATGAAAAGAAAACAATCCAACTAAAATATGGGTAAAGGGCTTGAAAGGACATTTCTCCAAAGAAGAAATACAAGTGGTCAATGAGCATATGAAACTATGCTCAACATTAGTCATTAGGAAAATGCAAATGGGACTCCAGTGAGGTAACTTCAGGCCCACTAAAGTGGTATAATTTAAACAAAACAACATCAAGCAGAAAAGTGTTGGTGAGGATGTGGAGAACTTATAACCTTCATACATTGCTAGTGGGAATGCAGAATGCTGTGGCCAGTGTGGAATACAGTTTGGCACGCTGTCAAAAAGTTAATCATACAATTATCATATGCTTCAGCAATTCTACTTCTAGGTATATACAATGAAGAATAGAAAACATGTATTAGAACAAAAGCTTGTAAACAAATGTCCCTGGCAGCACTATTTACAATAGCCAGAAGGTAGAGATAATCCAAATGTCTATCAGTGGGTGAATGAATAAACAAGTCAAACAAATATATCCATACAGTGGAATATTATTCAGTCATGAAAGGAATGAAATGCTGATACAAGCCACAACATAAATGAACCTCAAAAACATGCAAAGTGAACAAAGCCAGACACAAAAGGTCACATATGGTTTGATTCCACTTATATGAAATATCCAGAACAGGTAAATCCATAGGGGCAGACTAGTGCTTGCCAGGGTCTGGGGAGGGGTATGCTTAATGGGTATGGCGTTCCCTTTGAGATGATGAAATGTCTTGGAATTAGAGAGGTGATGCTTGCAAAACCTTGTGAGTCTACAAAGGCCATTGAGTTGTACACTTTAGCACCGTTAATTTTATATTATGTCAGTTTCATCTCCATTTCTAAAACATATATATTCAGGGATGAGGTGAGACTCAGGGATGTGAACTTCACAGATACTTGGTAATAAAAATACTGCTATTTCACAAAGGGAAAAAACAAGAAACGGATTGAGTAAAAGCTAGGCTGTGTACACTATTAAGTCATTTTTTCACAGTGTCATGCAAAATCCTTGTGTCAAAATGTCCCTAGAGACAAAGTGTGACTTAAAATAACTCTGTTTAGCCAATTTAATTATGATTATTATATGAGAAGGTCAGGACCTTTACGAGTGTCAGAGCTCATGCCGTTGGTGTCTGACCCAGAGGTGACCCAGAGTAGGTGCTCACTAAATGGCGATAGGTGTGGAGAGGGCTTGAGGGCAGGCCCCCCACTTCATTTCTGCTCTTGGCCTTGCATGGGGCTGGACACAGGTGGGGACGCTGCAGAGGGGGAAGAGGAGCCACTCCCTCTGCACCTTGGGACACGCCACTGTGAAGTGTTTCTCCCACCAGCTGTAGTGGGCAGGGCAGACCCCACCTGCTGTCCCCACAGGGCCCAAGGGCGACCAGCTACAGCAGGCCCAGGTCAGGGAAAGCTCAGGAAATGCAAGCACCTGCAGAGGAGGAGGGGATACCAGGCCAACCTGAGGGCAAGGGGCAGGTGAGCTGCTTACGTGGCCTCCGTCTGTCTGTGCCGTGCCCGCGTGCATCTGCCGGCCAGCCTGGGCCTGCTTCAGCCGCCTTCGCTGCGTCTTCTCCAGCCACAGGTCATCCGCACTGACGGGTGGGTGCTGCGGGATGCTCCGGGGCTGGGCAGGGGTCTCCTTGCAGACATCCTCTGCAGAGATGGAGGGGAGGGTCCGTATGACCATCTCAGCAGAAGAGAATGTCCTCTGAGCTGGCTCAACGTGAAAAGCTTTCCAACAATGGGAGCTGCTGGGCTTCTTGCCTGGTTCTTCTGCTGGGGTGTGGCTCTGGAGGGCAGAAAGGAGAGCATGTTAGCTGGGCACCTGGTGTCCTTCCTCTGCTCAGTTGTTTTGGGGTGTAACCCCATGTTTAGTTTAATCCCCCAAATACAGATTCCAGTGAAATACTTTGTTCACAGTAATTTTGCAAAATGTGAAGATTAGGAATAAAACAAACCCTGTTTCTGTTAAAATTTCTCCTTTCAAGACTATTAAAAAGATCCAGTCTTCTACCTTGATCAAAGAATTTGGTCTTGAAAGTAATAACTGAACTTGGCAGGTTTATTAGAAATACTTGTTAAAGGCCAGCCGTTGGGGCAAAAGCTTCAACACCCTGAGAACAGAATCCAAACAGAAATGCACTCAGGCCCTCGTTACCTCTTTCCTGGCACGGACATGAACCAGATGCCGGTGGCCTCCCTTCGCCTGTGCTGTGTCAGTCTCCCCAGGTGCAGTTACCACAAGGCACCCTAACTCAGTTTCAAAATAAGATTTGTCCACACTAACAGAATACTTTGGCTTTCTGTCAATACAACCACCCTCTCTGTTCTTTGGAACCAACCCGTGGCCACTGGGAGATGAGACCCTTTTCTTCCCACGCACTCTTCAAGTCTAGCGACTCCCACGGCAGCCCACCCAGTGCACACCTCCTTCGCAGCCCCTCTCTGCAGTGCCTTCCCCAAGCACCTGTGCACTCCTGGTGGGAGCAAAGGCGAAATTGCTTTTAACTATTTCAAGAGTCTGCCTTAAAAAGGGAATGCCTAAGCACCTGAATATGTACATGTATGTACACACACCCACGGAAAGGGACATGCAGGAGGCATTCTTGTTACATGATGGTTTGGGGCACAGCCGAGGAACTGGGACTTTTCAAAGCTCTCCAGGTGACCCTGATGTGTACCCAAGGTTGAAAATCACTGTGTGGGGGTTTGTTTTTTTGGGGGGGCTCCCAAATATTGCTGCAAGTTTAAAAAGTGCTTTAATTTAGTTCTTTATCCCCAGCTACACTGCAGGTTAGAAACAGGGGCATTCATCCCTGTCCTACCAATAGGGTAACAGAGACTCAAACTGCTCAGGATATGGCCTGAGGCCACGCAGCCCTGTGCATCATGTTCTGGGTCTCAGTCCCCTGTCCATTATGTAAGTTCCTGTTGTTTCATAAGTGGAAATAACATTTCCATAACTAAGCAGGGACCACACCTCAGAGTCCTTTATACTCTTAAAGAATACAGCTTACTGTCACTAGAGATGAGCTCACTTATCTTCAAATCAGAGGAAAACTTGTATTTTTCCATTACATCATCCCGGAGCCTGCTGCCAGTCTCCACCTGACTTGTGGGCTGGGCCCTCTTGACGCCATCAGTGGTGGTTTTATCCTCAATTTCTGTTTCCCCAGAACTTCAGAACATTCTCACCTTGGTTCACAGCCTGGGTACCGGTCTTTAGAGAGAATGCTGGCTGGAGACTGGGTGTCCTGCCTGTAAAGCTTTGCCTTCACTTCTTCTGTAAGCTTGATGGGTGCTAACAACCCTGCCTCCCTTCCCCACCTTGGGAGGCTGCTGGGTCATCTACCATTTACTCACCAAAGAGCTTTGATCTTCCCTGGGAACAGAGTCTTTGTCCTGAGACCACTTCTTAGAGCAGTAGCTTTCAAAGTGTGGCCCAGACCAGCCGGCTCCCCGGTATGGCACAGGGCCTCTGAGCCGGCCTCCAAAGATCTTGCCTCCTGGATGGAGCCCCTGTCTGAGCCCCTGACCTGGAATGTAGGATGGACTCACTTCTAATGAATACGGCTGAATTGAAGGGGTGTCACTTCCAATGTTAGGTTATAAAATGACTGTGGCTTCCATCTTTGAGGCCTTTCATGGGCGCCCTGCTCTGGGCAAAGCCAGATGACATATTGTGAGCGGTGCTATGGAGAGGCTTGTGTGGCAAGGAGCTGACACCTCCAGCCAGCAGCCAGCAGGGATCTTAGGCCTATCACTAGCCACCGAGGAAGTGTGGAAGCATGGCATCTCGCAGTGCAGCCTTGAGGTGAGCATGGCCCCTGCCAGCACCTCAGCTACAGCCTGAAAGGGACCCTGAGCCACAGGTACCCAGCTCAGCCAGCCTGGTTTGCATCAATAACTTGTGCCCTGAGAATCTGTTAGAAATTCAAGTTTTCAAGCCACATCCAGACTTGCTCTGGGGGAAGGGGCAGCAGCCTGTGTTTAAAAATGCCTTCGAGCGGATTCTAATGCACGGCTAGTTTGCGAATCACGTACTAGGGACACAAGCGAGGCAGAGGAGGCCGTTCTGGCGCTCCTTGTGTGTCCCAAGGTGCAGGGTGGACTTGAGAGAGCAGACTTGGGAGCTAGGTAGGCTGAGTTTGTGCCCTGGCACTGGCTCTTACCAGCAGAGCGACTTTGGGCGAATTCTCTTGACCCCCTCTCTGCTGCTTCCTCTGTGGAATGGAAATGCTAATACCTCTCAGAAGGGTTACAAGAATTCAGTGAGATAGTGCACTTAAAACACTTAGCGTAATGCCTGTCACGCACTGAACACATCGACTTGGTCTTGTTAATAAGCAGACAGGGCCGAGGAGACCTTGGTGGTCATGACAGAGTCCCATCTCTCTGGAATGAGTTGTTTTCGGGTTGCACCTGAGAACTTCACTACAAACACGCTACTAAGCATTAAACTCATTAGTTTTATGAGTTTACTGAGGTACCTACTGTCCATCTTTGTAATCCCAAAAGAGGGAAATTAAGAAAACATGAGACAGTGGCAGATGAGGAATGTCAACAAAACCTAGAAAAGCGTACATGGATTTAGGAAAGGTAAATGATTTAGCTGAGCGTGCGAAGCTGTCTATAAGAAGGGAGTTGCCAGGGACCGTGCGGGGCAGGGACCGTGCTGGGGAAGCAGCAGAGGCTCTGGGTCCCCGTCTGCGTGCAGGAGGGTCGCCCTCAGGTGAACTCCCACGGCCCCGGCAGCCTCATGACTGTGCACACTCCCCTTTCCACTTCCCCTCTCTCCTCGGATTGCCAGCCAGGTCAAGCACCACAGACTTATAGGTTTGAATAACTGTACAAGAAGACCCAGACTCTGGGATAGGAGACTTGCTGATGAAAGCAGTGGAGAAATTTGGGATGAAAACAAGGATAACAAAAAAGTCTGCATAGTGAACTGTGGGTCACTCAGTTGCTCACTGCTGCATTCCCCCCAATAAAGCCTATAGCTCCTAGATAGGCGAGTGGAGCACACTTCTCTGGGTCTCCCTAGAGAGGAGACCTCCAAATACTGATTTATAAAATAAGCAACTTCTCATTTAATCACCTTATAGTAAAGCCCACCATTTGATTAGCCCCAAACATTAGACCCAAATGGATGTTTGGTGCCTTACTCTTAATAAATATGAAATGCAGCCAAAGATTGTCAGACATATAGGAAAAACCTTCAACACACTAAAAAGACCAAAGTAAACAAAGAAGAGAAATAAAAGGAAACTGAACAAGTGGGGCACAGAAGAAAACATCAAAAGAGCAAAAGTTATTACCATCAAAAAGAGGAAGACACAGTAACCACGAAACTACAGTACAATGGTATGAAAAAATAAAAAAACAAAAAACAAAAACCAAGAGACTTGTAGTTCTGGGCAAGAGGGCATATACGTATTTCTTATTTGTTCCACTAAGTGCAGCGAAAATTTGAGACATTATATATACAACAAAACTATGAAGACTCTGAATGGTTGGAAGAAGAAAGTACGCCTGCTGGGGATCCTGGAATTCAAGGAACAACACATCAGTGGGTTCCCTGGGTTTCATTCTATATCATGTACTCCACTTCCATATGCCTCGTATATGAGTGCAAGAGGACCGTGCCGCCTAGAAATGCCACTAGGCACAGACATAAAAGCTCCGAGGAAAGCCTGCTTTCTGTACCCAGAGGGACAGCCTAGCGAGACAGGAAACCTTCAGATCAGAACTGCCCTGCGTTATCTAACTTGGTAGAAACTGTAACACCACCTCATTCCCTGCCCTCCTCAGCCATGACTGGGGACCTTCCCACCTTGCCTCTCTGTAATAAGGTGTAATTCTCCCCCCGCCAGTGGTTCCAAGAAGGCCGAGTGGGGAGCTGGGACTTTGATCCCCTGCCAGAAGTAAGGAAGCTCTCCCCACGGTATCTTCTGCCCCTGCAGTGAGGCATCCCTGCCCTGCCCTGCTGAGGTGATAAAGGAGAAGGTGGAGTAGGGAACTCTCACCACCACCCAGCACTAACAAAGTCTCCCTCCCAACCAGGGTGGGGTCAGTGAAGCCCCAGTGGAGAACCTTAATTCCCATCACCCCCCAACAGTAATGAGACACCCACCTGTGCATTGTGTTGTCAACAGAGGACAACTAAGGATTTCACCCACACCTGGCAGTGAAGAGGCGGTACCCACTGTCCCCCACTGGAGTGCCGTTAGAGGTGGTGTGCAAACAGAGGGTTTAAATAAGACACAGAGAATACTGCCCCAAATGCCCATAATGAAATTGAAACTCGTCACAGCAGGAATGGAGAAAATCCCAACTTCAATAATAAAAAAAGACCAGTCAACAGATGCCAACCCTGAGAATACACAGGGGCTGGGATTATCTGACAAAGATTTTAAAGCCGCCATCAGAAAAATATCTCAACAATCAATAGAAATACTCTTGAAACAAATGAAAAAAGTAGAAGATTTCAGAAAACAAAGTATTAACAAAAATATAGAAGGTATAAAGAATAACTAAATGGAAATATAGAGTTGAAAAATACAATAACCCAAGTGAAAGCATCAAAGGGTGGGGCTCATGGGATAAACGAGAGGATGGAGGATCCCTGGACTTAAAGTTAGAGCAACAAAAATTACACAGTCTGAAAAACAAAGAGAAAACAGACTGAAAAAAATAAATAAGCTCAAGGACCTGGGAGCCTGTAGAGCAACTAGAGTCCAAAAAAGAAGAAGGTGAGTGTGGGTGAAAATGTATTTGAAGAAATAATCA